TCCTGTCCTCTGTCCTCTGTCCTCCTGTCCCCCTCTCCTCTGTCTCCTGTCCTCTGTCCTCCTGTCCTCTGTCCTCCTGTCCCCCTCTCCTCTGTCTCCTGTCCTCTGTCCTCCTGTCCTCTGTCCTCCTGTCCCCCTCTCCTCTGTCCTCTGTCCTCTGTCCTCCTGTCCTCTGTCCTCCTGTCCCCCTCTCCTCTGTCTCCTGTCCTTCTGTTTCCTGTCCTCTGTCCACCTGTCCTCCTGTCCCCCTCTCCTCTGTCTCCTGTCCTCCTGTCTCCTGTCCTCCTGTCTCCTGTCCTCTGTCCTCCTGTCCCCCTCTCCTCTGTCTCCTGTCCTCTGTCTCCTGTCCTCTGTCCTCTGTCCTCCTGTCCTCTGTCCTCCTGTCCTCCTGTCCTCTGTCCTCTGTCCTCCTGTCCCCCTCTCCTCTGTCTCCTGTCCCCCTCTCCTCTGTCCTCTGTCCTCTGTCCTCCCTGCAGCTCCGTTCCTGTGCCACCCCAACCTGTGGATCCGGTACGGGGCGGTGGGCTTCATCACGGTGGTGGCTCAGAACCTGAACGTGGCTGACATCTACTGCAAGCTGCTGCCCCACCTGAACCTGTTCATCACACAGCCCATCATCCAGGTGAGTCGTCCCCTTCATGGTCCTCATGTCTCCTGCCCCCGCCCGTCCTCAGCCCCTGTCCCCCCCTCAGATCGATAAGGAGCTGGTCCTGCTGAGCGTGCTGAAGGAGCCGGTGAGTCGCTCCATCTTCGACTACGCTCTGCGCTCCAGAGACATCAGCAGCCTCTTCAGACACCTGCTGCTGCGGCAGAAGAAGAGGGCCGGCTCCATCCCAGAGTGCCCCGCCCCCGACGACCCGGCCGTCGCTCAGCTCCTGAAGAAGCTGCTGTCTCAGGTCAGTGCTGGGCTCGGGGTCCTGCTGCTGGTCCGTGGACCCCCAGCTTCATGTCTCCTGTCTGCTGTGGTGTCAGGGCATGACGGAGGCCGAGGAGGACAAGCTGCTGGCCCTCAGAGACTTCATGCTCAAGTCCAACAAGGCCAAGGCCAACATGGGGGACCAGGGTCACCTGGGGGAGGGGGCACAGACCGGGGTCATCGACCTGGCCACGCTCGGCATCACGGGTCGACAGGTGGACCTGGTCAAACCCAAACCTGAGGCTGACGACAAGAGAGGTGGGCAGCAGGGGTCTCACACACACACACACACACACACACACACACACACACACACACACACACACACACACACACACACACACACACACACAGACACACAGACACACAGAC